GCTCGCAAGATTCAGATCTATCGATGAATCATGAGTGGTTGAGTGATTTTCGTCTAAACACATCCACCTTGTGACTACTGACTTGGTAGATCATATATTAAGATTATTCTCAAAATCTGTAGTCTGAGAAAACAATACGATAATTTTTTTCTCATATTCAATCGTAATCACGAGGCAAACAAATAGATTTGCATAAAATCGATGCTCGTAACGACGAAAAAGTATTGAAGAAAAAGAAACTACGAAATAGTGATAGTTTTTCTAGTGATAATTGTTTTGTTTCACCACGTTCGATCAAAACTCGATAGAGAGAGAGAGAGCAACCCAGTCAATAGAGGAGTAACAGTGCAAAAATAATGTTTAAATTTAGTTTTAAGACAGTAAACTTCTACAGTGGTTCATTTGCAAGTATCTTTTTGTGATGATGCGACGTTTTCGAATTCTTTTGTGTTAATGATGCTCAACGGAGCATTGGGTCATTGCTTGTACTGATTGGTTTCATTAAACAGTGCAAGTTCTTCCATCACTTTGTTTGTCAGTATGGGTAGAGTTGATAGCTCTTTTCGTTTGCGACGTCTGTAATATACGTGGATGATAAGGATGAAGATCTGCGTGGAAGTGCATCTTTTCTTTAGCTCCACTCAAATTCACAACCACACCGGAAATATCTGACTTTCGTGAAAATACAATTTGATCAGTCTCAATGTAGAATCACTTTGATATATTCATAATTGAGTAGAGTGTGGGTGAGAGGTGTTAGTGTATCTTCTCTTCTCTCTTTCACACTCATACTACATCTCGTAGATTGTTAACAAGCATCATCTATTCTTTCTTTAGATAAACTTGAAAAGTTTAATAAGATGATGTTGATTCATATAAAAACTGGTTGCCATTCAATTATAATGCATACACATATCAGGATATGTTGCAATACTGTTGTATATATATATATCTTTGCTTTGTGTATTCATGATGTATAGAATGATGAATAAAGGATTTTGAACTAATACAATAATCAAGTTAATATCTTTTGTAAGTACAAAATGAAAATGAATTCTATAGCTTGATATTAGTAGAGAGTAAGATTTGTATCCTTTTATTAAGCAACAATTCATCGCTAAGTCTAAGAGTGAATCTATTTAGAACTATGTATACAAGAGATGGTGTAGATAAATTATCAAGAGTCATTTTAATGTTACAATCTCAAGATATTGTGATCTTGTCAGTTGTAAATAATGCTGATTAGACAACAAACAATCATCTATTTGAACAAGTTTAGATTGTGATAGACTGCCAAGATTTTTGTACATAGATAATAACATATTTAGTGAAATATTCAAAGCATATTATGTCTCTTATGCATTTTCTGAAAATTCATTCAACTCCTGGTATACTTGATCAATGTCCACCAATGAGAAACATATCAGATATAAATTTTTGATCTATTTGATATCTCTATACTTGAACATCTATCATCCATATCAGATTTTGTATTTTATATGTCTCTACTTCTTCTACTCGATAAACTTGTCAATTTTAATCATACGACATATTATACATAGTAACTGTATAATTGATATTGATCTAAGAAACCGAATTGAAAATTTTATAATTCCAATCTCTAAACAAGTTTTGAAATGTAAGGAAAATAAAAATGTAAAGAAGAGTTCTCAATGGATGATCCCTCGATCTTTCGATTGTGATAGTTTAATAATGAATAGGCAACCATGAATCTCCTACATAGCTGAATATTACTATAGTGATGATTGATTATACATATACTAATTTCAATTCAATAGATCGATCTGTAAGCGAATATTACGTAAATTGATTAAAACATGATTAAAGATAAAATAAAAAACAAGTTCTAACATTTCTCACTTCGCTTTTATACTTGCTGTGTGTACGTGATCATTTTGACTCCATGATAATTTAATGTAGAGGTTCATGCATTCTTTTTATTGGTTATTTGTTTTAACCTATCCATAAAGATTCATACGTCGATATTTTTTTTCTCATCGTTGTATTCTTACATGAATATGAAATTGAGTTTTATTATTTTCCGTTGTTTATCAATTGAATCAGATAGAAATAATAATTAGACGTTTTTTTTTCTTTCGTTTTATTATTGATTAAATAAATTTTTTAGATATTTATTTCTTTTTTCGAATAAACGATACTTATTCAGATGACGTACATGGCTTCATCATCATATACATACAGTGTTGTATCAGTAATTTGCATTTAAGGAGTGTCTAATCTGAAGAAGGTTGTTTCTACAGATTAACGATATTGCAGTCCTCATACACTTTCATGTGCTTTAACCAATTAAACAAATTATTGAATAGAATGTCGTTGATCTGAAGAAGGATTCTGAAGAAGAGTTTAATAAATATCTATCCATCTCTTCTCAAATGATTTATACACTATAATGGGTGACTTATATTATTTAACCATCTGCTGAATATTACTCATTCGTGATGTACTGCTTTACTGACATTCGTTTAATTTTTCTATTGATTAACCTTCTATCTGTCCATCTGTATTATTTATATATGTTCATCAATTCCTGCACATGCCATTATCCAATGAGGTAGCTTATTTAGAAATTTATAAACTAATAAACAATATTGTGAATTCATATTAATATTTACCATAGATATTTTCCTCAATGCCAATTTGAACGATTACATGCTCATATTTTATTCATTCAGTCTAAGGCTATTGTCTCCTTTCTTTTGCTTTTCGTTCAATTTAATGTGAACGCTCAGCTTTGATCCAAGTTTCCTTATACATACACATGGTACAGGCGAGATTGAAATTTTAGGATAAATTTTAAATTGCTCTAAATATATGTTTCCTATGCAACATATATATAAGAATAAAAAGAAAAAAAAAAGAAATATCCTTATGTAATCCGCTCGCACTGACAAATTTTTTAATGTTCGCTTATGCTTGTTCAAAGTATATCTCATCTTTTCTTCTACTTCATCGCACGCTTGAACTTGAACACTCACTATTCTTCGCTCTGACTATAAAAAATACACATATTTCATTTTCAAGGGTTTCACATCTATTGTATATTAATAGTCATAAGCATAGAATGTTTTCTATCCAGACAAAGCGTCTTATACGGTGAGAAGTCGGTCAGCATGTGTTGATATCTTAATGATATGTTTGAATATACAAAATATAAAAGGATATAAATAGACACGATTCATCTTCATAAATGTCACAGATAGACGATGCTTTCTTTTTAATATTTTCTTTTTCTCGAACACGAGTTTTTTTAACAATTTGACACCATCACCAAAGACGACGACAACGAAATGTCACAGTCATTGTTATTATTTATATTCAATAGTAAGTTGAGATTATGATTTTCTTATTTTAAAAAAAAACATAAGCGGACATTAATATGAGTCTCTTAATATCAAATTGATTGTTAAATTGTTATATTAAATGATCATGAGAGAAAAAAAAAGATCGATTGTAAACATATTACATTGATTTAATGTCCACTTTAAAATAAGTAGATAAAATATGTTGTGACATTGACAATCTTATCCTAAGTTTCATAAGAATCTACTAGAAGCAGGAAAGGAACATCATAGAAATAGTTTGTTAATTTTCGAAATGAAAATTTTTTTATTATTTTCATAGTCAATTATAATTTCGATTTGATTGTGAATCAATGTATCTATTGATTGTATCATAAAAAGAAGCTGTTAGTACAATCAATACCTGCGAATTAAAATGTGAAACACGATGTAGCGTCTCTTGCTAATCATATGTCGATTGTTTTATTCAATCTATTTTTGATCGTATTTCTTCGCGATTATTTTACTTAATTCTTGAGAAATGAAATAAGATAGTAGTTCATATATCATAATCAGACATTTATTGATATACAGTTTGTGATCATATATCAACAAGGTCTGTTAGAATCTATTGCACAGAAGGGATACAAATATCTAACCTATATACTTCATTCCTTTTAGATATTTAAAAAAAGAAATAAATGAATACAATCAAATTTTATGAAAATTTGTCAAACAGTTCAACGCGATCTTATATTCTATTTTAGTTTGTTTTTAATTCATTTTTAGTGATTAAATAGTTTCAATTCATGACACTTCTATTTTTCAATCATCTATTTAATCCAAATTCTCGTTTGCTAACTTGAAAATATTAAAGTTTATGGTCAATTAATTCAACTATTAAAATATGATAATATTTATTAATAAGTTAAAACACAAAAAATCAATGTTAATATTTGTAATTCATTATTGATATTTATTTGTATCAACTATACAATTCTGAATGATACTTTTCAAAAAGTAGATTATGTATTTAGTTGAGGTGAAGTCAATCCATTAAATTTATATTGAATATTAAGTAAGAAATAAAAGAACATTGTGTAAAAAAGAATTAAAATATATTTTTATTGAAATTTCATTTAGAAGATCAAATAGAATGTTATTATGATTTGAAATTTAACAATTAATCATCTCTATTGATACAAACTTTCTATTTTATTATTTGCTCTTCTAATTGCAAGAATAACGACAATAGCAGAACTTCGATGATCATTATAAAAATAAAACATTGTTTGGCACAATGTGTCTGTGTTTGTGATAAAAGGGTTTTATTTTTATTTTGAATTTTGAAAAGTTATAAGTTAAACATAAACCCATTTTCTTTCGTGTATATTTATTTTCATCTGGAAAAAAGTTTGTAATTGTTTTACTTCAAAATTGTCTTTGTAAAATGAAAATAAACGTGTTAGATATGTATATATTTAGGCAATAATTGGAAATGACTCACTCGGCATATCAATTTTTTTGCTTATTTTTTCCTACTTGTTTTTTTTTATCCTACCTTGTTCTTTATAATTGTGAATGACTCATCAATACTCATTTGCTCTTTTTTCTGTTTTTTTTGAAATATAGATTATAAATGCCGATAAGCATAGAAAAACATATTTTTTTCTGTTTTAGATGGCAACTAGTTATTCATCAATATCGCAACGAGAACGTAATACTCAAGCATTTTTTCCAAATTCGGCAACACATGCTGATCAATGTCGTTTTGTTTGTATTTATCCGGCTTATATAAATGCAAAAAAAACACGAGCACAAGGTCGTCGTGTTGGCAAATCAAAAGCTGTCGACAATCCATCGGTTAATGAAATACGTGATATTTTAGAGAATGCTGGTTTAAAAGCTATTGTAGAATCGAATCGTTTATATTGTCGAGAAGAATCACGTGAACCGCAATATCGTGGTCGTGTTCGTGTGCAATTAAAAAATGCTGATGAATCATTAGTTAAAGAACAATTTAAAACAAAAGATGATTTATTATTTTATCTTGTTGAAATGATACCAAAATTAAAAACACGTAGTGGAAATCAACAACAGCAACAACAAAATCAACAAGGTGGAGGCAAGGGCAAAAAACGTTAGACATTCTATAAAGGGATTTTCTCTTACTTTTCTCTTCTATTGTTATTTTATTATTTTACAAAAGAAAAAAAAAAAAAAGATACATGTATCAGTTTCATTCTTTATATGAATAAGATATAATAAATTCCATCAATTAGTTTTTAGATCTGTGATATAAATTTGTTTGATCCCCGTCCCTTCGATTTTTTTGCGCTTGGGCGCATTAGAAGAAAAAAACAAACAAACAAAAACGTTCGACAACGATGTTAATCGAAGAACAAAATGTCGATCAAATAATTACAACAATTCGAACACTTCATCAAACGACTATTGATCAACGACAATGTGATTTAACTGAATATCTTATTGAATTTTTTCAATTTATTAAACAACAAGAACAACAAACAAATTTATCCAATATATTTTATTTATTAACAAATCTTTTACGTGATTATATTGATCGTGCTGCATTAAAAGTTGAATTTCTTAAAGCAAAATGTTTAGAAACAATTTATGAAATATTAACTAATGAAACAAATGATGAAAATAATATTATATCAATTCTTCAATTTGTTTCTGAACTTCTTGTTAATTCAGAAAATATTCAAGAACAATTTCTTAATTTTAATGGTTATGAAAAAATATTTCATTTTCTTTATCATGTACATACACCGACAATGGATTTTATTAATCAATTACTTATACTTATGACAGAAAAAACTGTATTACAAGTTGACGATTCATTGACACCTGTTGATATATTTGTTCATTTGATTAATCCGCATATAACTGTTATTTTAATACATTGGATACCATATTTAACCAATACATCTCATCAACATCATATTATACATTCAATACATATAATTGTATCACGATCATTACAAAATAAAATGATGGCTTGTTCACATGATATTATTTACTCTTTAATTGATATACTTTTCTCAATTAAATTGCATGATAAAATTTTGCTTGATAATATTTTTTCAATATTAGAAAAATTAGCACGTTTTTCTATAAGTGCAAAAGAAATTTGTCATATTTGTCAATTATTCAATGAAAATACGTTATTTAAAAAACAATTATTACGTATTTTAATTACAGCAGCTAAACATGATGATCCTGATACACAAGCAATTTCATCATATTTTGATTTACAAAGACCAAATAGTGTAATGAAAAAACTTTTTGCTTGTGTTTATGTCTTTTATTTATTAAATTTATTATTTTGTTTTATAGGGCATCATTTTGCCAGTTATACGTCGTTGGCCATCAATATCATCTTCAGCTTTACATTTTTCATTTCATTGTTGGTTAAGACTTAATCATGAAATGGACAGTTATCCACACAATGCTCGTCGTCAAATTTATTCATTTTATTCGGATTCCATTGGTCTTGAATCTTTCATACATAACTCATCAATATATATATTAGTTAATGATCGTCGTGAGCTTGCTTATATGGAAATAAATGAATGCGATGAATTAATGGATGGTTATTGGCATTCATTAACAATTATTCATACAGCACAACGACCATCATTATTTGTTGCTGCATTTCAAGCAGTATCAACATGTCATTTAGCAGTCTATATTGATGGTTTATTAAAAAAACAAACAAAAGATTTTAAATATGTACCTTTAATCAATGATCCAATAAGTCTAGCTTCAGTTGGTGCATCTAGCCAACGACCACGTTTAGCAGCAATGAATACAAAAAATGATTCATTACCTATATCAACAACCATTGCTAAAACAATGAAACCAATTAAAGGTTTATTTTCACCAAAACCTAAAACTCCTAGTCAATCTCGAATAAATCCATTACTTCATGCACAAAATATTACAATAACTGAACCTAATAGTCAAGATACTATTTTTGGAGAATCAACTAGTTTACATGGACAATTAGCTTGTATTTGGATTTTAGCGGAAACATTGAATGAAGCACAAGTTAAGCATTTACATTCAATGGGTAATACTGGAATTTTTAATTTAAAATACAAAAGAAAAAAGAAAATTTTTCTCTGTTCAAGATTCGATTTTTCTCGCATTTCTAAAACGATAGAGACAAGTTGTCAGTTACTGTCATGAATCGACTGTAAAACTCGTTGCATTGGTCTGAATCTGAAAGTTTCATGTTGGTCTAGTCTAGGACCAACTCAATGAATTATACTGTAAAAGTAACAGTCACTAATGGCTTGATTATTATAAGATTATGGCTAAGATTGTCTGAGACATATGTAGAAGATGTCAGTAACCGAATTTGGAGCCTCTATTAGACTCACACCAGAAAGATTTCTTTTGAAATTAAGAGTACGGTTTGAGTTAGGATTCGAAAGTTTTGAACTTGCCAAGCTTTATTCGATTGAGACTTTTGAATACAAAAAAAAGTAAGCAGTTTTCCTTAAAATAACAGATAGAAATGGAGAAAATTTCTCAGAATCATCGAGCAAAGATTAGTCTTCTTTGTGCCTTACTTTTATTGAAGTCTAGCATATATCTCAAATTCAGCGATGATCAATCTTGTCCTCCAGTATGTGTAAAACAATAGACGATTTCGTTTTCGATTGATGTTATATGAAATACAGACGAGAGTTACTTTTGCAAGATCTTTCGCAGTTTTCTTTCATTAACAGAACAAAAAACCTTGACACTCGATTGAATAGTGTTAATGCACAATGCTTTTCTAAGCATTCTAACTGTTTTATAATTAAAAGAATGTGATCCATCTTTATATTTAACGAAGCAGTTTTCCGAACCGATAAATCTCTTTTGAGATGATTCATAGCTGATTGGATTGATCCTATTGGGATTTGAAAAAACCCAAAAATATTCATGTGCATAGGTCTTTCCTCTTCACTTATCTACTTTCTAGTGAACTTTTCAATGAAAGGTTGTGCTTCCTCTCAAATCACTTTGGACATTGACTTTCCAATATAAACTAGGCACGAACAAACTTCTTATTGGGGCTAGTTCACTGTCAGAGTGATAGATTTTTTAAGCATTGATTATTCTTTTTAAATATCAATATTGAAGGTTCTGTTAATCATAAATCCCAATGTTACCGTCATATTTTTATCTTAGGATAAGAGATACTTGAGAATCTGATACTTCCACAATGAACTAATCTTATTGAAAACTGTATTTATACCAAGTTTGAACTCGTAAGCCAATTTTCTGTGTAATGAGAAGGGTCGTATCGAGTTTCATTAAAAACGTTATGGACACAAATACTCTTGACACTTTTTCTAATCTCAATTAGAATCTATCCAATGAAGTATAAGACTTATTTCAAAAGTAATTTATCAATTGTTAAACATTTCCTCATAAATACTTTGCTTACAATATAATCTTTCATATATAATTGTAATATCTCTTTCTAATTTACAATCAATAAAATGTCCTAATTTTTAGGTGCCGATTTTTGTAATCAACATCATCCAATAACAAGTGGTGATACTACCATGTCTTCAACCATACTCGATCTACTTTCTACTCGTTCTCTTCTTGTTTATCATCCACTAGCATGTAATGGTCAAATTTGTATTGATATATCAGGTTGTACATCTCAAATGAATGGTCGACTTAATAATGGTTCATGTTTACGTCTTCGTTCATTTTCTGAATCATTATTAAGTTTAGGTGGTTGTCCCGTACTTTATCCATTGTTTGAAAAATTTCAAGAAACTGATTGTTTTTATGCTATGGAATCCGATAATGCATCATCATCATCATCATCAAATAATTGGGAATCACCAACTGATTGGATTATTGTTCGTAAAGAATCACAAAAAAATTTATCTGATATAGATAATCGTTTAATTTCAAATCCTATAGCATCAATTATAAATTTACTTCGTTGTGTTTTGTCATCAAGATCAATGATAATTTTAACTGAACAAATGACAAAACATTATAATGTTGAATTATTAGGACAACATTTAAATCGTATATCATCATTGTTTATTGATCAACAATTACTTATTGCTATTCAACAATTAATTGAATGTAGTCGATTAAATAAATCATCTTATTTATTAACAAATCAATTTATTCAATATATTTTACTTGATTTTGGTTTATGGAATAAAGCTAAATATGATGTACGAATAACACATTTACAATATATTGCAGCTGTTATAAAAGATGAAAAAAAATATTATCGAACAAAATTTGGTGTACAATATTTTTTAGATATTATTCGACAACATTTTCAGTAGATAAATTTTCTTTATTATTATTATTATTGTTACTGTTTTATTCAACATATATTTTATTTATTTTAGTACTCCAGAAGAAGATACTGATGAGCAAAAAAACTTACGTAGTGCTATCTATGGTATTATAAAATATTTTGTCCAACGTCATATACGTATTGAAGAACTTAATGCTTTACTTAGTTCAATATCAAATTTATCAAAATCAAATGATATTATAACACAAGAATTACTTGATTTCATTCTTGCATTAATCGATCCACCATCAACATCAACAGATACAACAATAGGACTTCTTTGTGAACCAAATATGACTGAAAGTCTTTATACTTTATTAACATTTAGTAATTTAACAAGTAAAACAAAAGAAATCGCATTAAAAATTATTAAATGTCTGGTGACATCACGACGTGTACCACAACAAGTACGAACACAATTAAGATTAGAAACAAATCATATTGGATTTGGTGGAATTACATCAGATTTAACACCTGAAGAATTAACTGTATCAATGATACGAGAAATTCTTAATTTAATAATTAATTCTGGTAAATTAAAGATCATTATCGATAATATGAAAACTTCTTTTTCCTTTCTTGACTTAGATTCATCAATTGATGTTGATCAACTTAATATTGTATTAATACTTTGTAGTGCTGCTTCACTTGATGTTCGTTATGTTGCTATGCGTAAAGTAAGAAATCATTACTTTATCTTTTCATTGTATCTATTTTTTTATCTATTTTTAGTTATTGACATGTTTTATTCAACATCCATCAGTATGTCAGTCATATGCTAAATGTCATGGTTGGCAAGAAACCTTAGCACATTTTTTTGTTAAATCTCGTCGTTCAATATCAATGCAATTATCTCAATATTTAACATCATCAAACGTATCAAATGACGTTCCTACAACAAGTACAGCAGATCAAAATGTTGATTCTAGTAGAAAAAATTCTAACGACGCAATTATTGATAGTAGTAATCGTCGTGCTTCATTAATGCCACCACAAATATCTGAAACATTATTAAGTCCACAATATTTAACACAAGAAAGATTTACACAACAACTTGATTTATCACCATCTATAGATGAAAATACTCTTATAAATTTCTCTAAAAGATTTGCATCACCAAGACCATCAATAGCATCCGATTCAGCTTTTACAACTACGAGTGCTCTTAGTGATAATAAAGAAACAACACCAGAATTTTTTCGAGGACTTAGTGATGATTTTCAACAAAATACAATTGGAACAAGAATGTCATCATTAAGATTATCTTCAACTAGTCATGAAGATCTTATTTCATTAGCGAAAAAAGAAAATTCAACTGATGATTTTACTTCAATGGCTGATAGCAGTGGTAGTCTATGTCAATTACCAAGAACAATTACTATTACAAGTATAAAACATCTTTATAGTGATGAAGAAAACAATTTGCAGTCTGGACGACTTGGTCCCGAAGTTAGGCAGATTTTAGGTTGGCTAATTGGTCTGCTTTACCACAAAAGATAGCTTGATTTAACTTCGATTCTCAGTCGTTTTGCTGCTCTTAAAAGTTTTTCCTTTTTTTATTTTCGAAACAATGAAGAGATCGATTAATTTCTAGAGTATTCATGTAAAAGAATTTCTTATTGAGATTAGTATGTTTGAATGTTCCATGAAAATTTGTTAAGTACTGCTTTATTAAAAGTAGACATATCTAAACTCCTTTCCGGATGCTGGTTTTTCGTTGTTGAAAACATTTTATTGATTTCACTATGTTCGACATTCGAAATTCGTCACAAAATGAAGTATGATTTTTTAATACACTTAATCTGACACATATATTGAGTTGAGAAAACCATTCACTAATGAAGGAATCCATAGAAATGATAAAAGAGTTTTGAGGCCAAACTTGTCTCCATCGAAAGAGTCTATTGAGAATAAGTAAAATCTATCATGATTCTTTCTTTTATTGCGTTCTTCTCGAGTTATAAACAATATCAGATCTTTAGCCAATGCGCATATTTTGAAAAATATTCAAGAAAATCTTATTTTCTTGTAAATCTGAGACCTTGAAGAGAACATATTCATCCTAGATGAAAATCTTCAGTGTATGATAAGAAACATAAGGCCACTTTCTAGGAAAAATTTCGGATTGAAACGATGACATTGAGTTTTTTATAATACATCATATAGTAGAGGTCAACAAATTCAGTTTTATTTTAAATTTGAGAAACTGTAAAAACCGTTCTCTCATTTGAACTGATTTTTCCGAAACAATTTTTGTTTTTTCTTTGGGAATGGCACTTTCAAGTATTAAAAACGTTTTATTTTGTTATTGAAATGCCATTGTCAGAATAGAATCAAATTTTTCGGTCAACTCAGTTGTAGCAACTGAATTTTTGGAACAGATTTTATGACATAAAATAGTTCATTCGAACAATGCCTTCACAAATAGGGTGTGAACTGTGAACTAGGTAATCGTTCTCCTGCACTCGATTAACAACTAAGTAGGATTGTTGTAACTCGAGAAGAAAATGTATAAAGAAACAAATCATTATAGATTTTGCTTATTTTCAGTGAACTCTTCTTAATAAAACAAATCTATTTTCAATAAAATTTTATCGCTTCGAGAAATTCCCTTGTAAGAAAACAGTTTTTTGAAATAAATGTTTTATTTGTTTTTTATAGAACGTAATGCTTAAAGTTTTTATCGACTATTCCACATAGTTTTTTTTTTTTTTTTTTATTATTTTCAGGTGTAACAAGTACAGAAGATGTATCATTTTTTGTTCCGTCACCAACTAGTCCAGAAGATGGTGGTCTCCTTGAAGAACTTTGCGAAACACTTATATTAACAATAGTTATGGTTTTATGGAAAGGTATAACTGGTTCTGATGATGAAGCTTGGATGGTTTGTTTCTTTTTTCTATTGAATATTCTCTTTTCTATAACAGATATGTTTTTTAATCTTCTAGATTCGTAGTCAAATTTTTTCAGCACTACGTTATCTTCATCGCGATTATGAATTTTATTTACCAATAGTTTATATTGAACGACGTATACTTGAATTAAGCATGGAAACATGTTTAAATGATCTCAAATCAAGTGGAGGTATGATATTCACGTAGTTTTTCGTTTTTTTTTCTTGTTTATTATAAATTACTCATTATTATATTAAAAAAATCTAAAGCATATCAAGGTTATGACCGTCTATATCGACGGCGTATGAGCCAAATACGTAAGTGGTAAATAAGAAGTACAAGAAAGCACTGTTGTGTCATTCACGAAATAAAAATGTTCTTCTTCTTAACTGTTGTTTTGTTTCTTACCATGTTTTCTTAGTTTTTTCTAAAACAAAACAAAACAATTATCTATGTATTTAGGCAAAACAACATCAATTTATGAAAATAATTGTCGTGAATTAATTAAAATTGTTGATGATTTTCTTTCACAAACAACAAATGTTAATGATCGAATTACAGAAAATTTCATTAATGGTAATTTATTCTTTGAATAAAATTAATATTATTAAAATTTAGTTCATTTTCTTTTCTTTTTTCTAAAGGAATTCTTCCAATATTAGATACGATGCTTATATGTGAAGAAAATGGTACTGGTGATCAATCAGAATCAACACTTGTTTCACATGATGAACATTGGACTGAAACATCATTAACTGGTCTTAATATTCTTTTAAATCTTCTTGCTCATTCAAATATATCATATTCTGGTCCAGCATCTGTTCGTATACATTCATTATTACATAGTCGTCCTTTAAATGGACGTGAAGAAGCTGCATATTTATTATCTAATGTAAATAAAATCTTTTCATCAATATCAGAAGATGAAGATGGTGAACATTTTGGATATTTAATACCAATAATGAAAACAATTATTGATAAATCTTATGAAATTCTTCAAATGAATGTACAAATACCAAATGTACCATTACGTAAAGCAACATCAACAGCATTAGATGATTTTCGTCAATATTGCTCATCATCGGATAGTCAAGAATGGCAAATGTTTATTCAACGACATGTTGAACCACTTGCTGAACATTATCGTTCAATGTCTATAAAGCCATTTCATATGAATATGACACTATGGTGGAATAATTGTCATGAAATGATGATGATTGGTATACATAAACGAAATAGACAAATCGGTGAAGAAAAATTAAAATTTCAAGTAATATTTAATTTCTCAACAGTTTATTAAAATTATTCAGGACTTTAAGAGTGTCGTTCTCTTCTATCGTGACCCAAAATCTTCGGTGTTTTGTAGTCATCTATAGAGTTTGATATAGCATTTATCTATTGAGTACATTTTGGAATCAAAAAATCATCTTTAAATGCTAAAAAATCAAATTTATGTAACAAGAATAACAAAAACTATACTTTGTTTCGTTTTTTGCACATTTTCTAAAGTTTGCCCTATGCAAAAAAACGCTTTATTTGACAGCGGTTCTAGTATCTTGGTTCTCCTATGCAGAGACAACAGTATTTTTCAAAGAAAAAATTCAATCATAAAAAATGAATTACGGCTATTTTTGGAAAAAGAGGGGATTTCAGGTCATTGTTGGCCTTTACATACCTTATATAAAAGTGAGTAGTCCTGTGATGAAAACCACCGATTTTCGGTCATTAACTGCGGTTTATCA